TTATTATTTAATCATTATATTATTATTTAATTATTGTATTATTTATTATTATTTGCGATAATTTCATGAAATTTTCAAATGGCTGTTGTACTTATTCGTGACATGTGAAATGATCAGAGAAAAAAGCATTTCGACTCATGGATATAAAAGTATATAACCGGTTATTCGTTGATAATTTTTTTGTAATCTATATTTACGTCATCTTTCAAATAAAGGATCAACTCCAAATCTCTTTTTATATATTTTTTATTAAATTTGTACATTCATTAATGCATAGAGATGTTATTAGTCTATTTTGTCGTAGTTTCGCTTTATTTTTGTTGTGTCAATCGCATCAACTTGATAGGTCTAATCGTAACTATTTTTGATATGACATTTTGGATTTTACAGCACTTTACAACACAATTAATATAATTACAATCAAAAATTTATCGCTGCTAGACCGTTTATATGAGCGACATTCGAGATTAGTATATGAAATCACGTGATTCATTTGTCGCTGAATATGAGCGACGAGCGACACCATGAATATATATCTTTAAGGCTTAAAACATCTTGGCCAGTATCCGTAAGCCAATATTCATAGACGATTCTTATTTCAAGATTATCTTAAGTAATGTCTTAAGACGCTAGCAGCTTTTTGATTGGTTCGTGACTTCTTAAAATCATACTTAAGACGATCTTGAATATAAGATCCGACTATGAATATCGGCCATAGGCCTACTGCCGGCCTATTCAAAGTCGGATCTTATATTCAAGACCGTCTTAAATACGGTCTTAAGAAATCACGAACTAATCAGAGGGCTGCATTAGCGTCCTAAAACATTATTTAAGATGGTCTTGAAATAAGAATCGACTATGAATACCGCCATAGTTCGTTTTTATTTTCAAGGCTATCCTAAGTACAATCTTAAGAAGTTCTCTAGATTCATAGTCTAAATAAGTCTAATCAGATTAGTGTATCAGTGGTGGCGATTATCGATAGTTCTCTACTTTCAAGCTGTAGCATTCAAAGGATTCATTTTAAAGTTGTTCGTATGGAATTTTTCAAAATTGTGCGTATGAAACTTTTTAATTCTTTTTTTATGCTCTATATATAATCTTATGGCTGTATTCAGCAGAGAAAATTAATCAGTTAGCGCTTAGTGATTTTTTAATACAATTGATTCTTGCCTTCTTTGTTGGATTTAAGTGTAAGAACCAATCATATTAAAAAATCACTAAGCGCTAACTAATTAGTTTTCTCTGCTGAATGCAACCATAGCTAGGATGGAAAAATAGGCTGTCAAAGGCAACCTATGTCTCAATACTGTTCAGCCAAGGCTCAAACTGGGCATAGTCCTTTGCTATTATTAAAACTTAAATATATTTGGCTCATACATTATTAAATTCATGATTTTTTATTACATAAATGTTTCATAAATAAATATGCATATTTGTAAAGCTATAATATTTTACATATTGCAGAAAAATTACAATTTTTTCTCTACAGTTATCATCTCTGTTGATAATCAAATTTTGACGATAACACTGAAATCACAATTTTAAAGAAAAATTGAGTATTATTGAGTTTTAAATGCACAAATGCATCTACTAAACTAATAAATCATAAAATTAGTACAATATTATTAGTTTCGAACTCTTAATCACTTCAACATTCATATAGACGCAACTCCCGTAAGAATGTCGGTGTTTAATAGTATCGGTGATACCGGCTACTGTCCAACTGCACACACCGTATTATCCCTTCCAACATGGTATAGCGCATGATCGTACATACATACGAGTAATCTATATTTACTATGCGCTATGTCGTCGCTCTCCCCCGTTGCTACCACCTCATCAGCCTCGTCTTCGCGTTCGCCCCTGTTCAGTATTCGCCCCTGCTCCCGGCTCCCGTCCGATCGTAGGCTTGCGACCAACGTCGCTTGCAAGTTGCAACGGCGACCGCCGCGCTAGTTTGACTGATTTGACGTTTCTGTCACGAGTGGTGAGAGGTGCGCGATTTGGCACGATCACAGCGGCGACGGCAGAACGGCAGAAGCGGAAGCAAGCTCGATTTATTTCGCGTCTATTACGAGGCTTTTGCCAGTTTTGACTGGGCGATTACGATCGATTCAACGGCATCGATAATTTCCTCGGATTCCCTTTCCTCACGAACGACGGTCGTCACACCATCGTTCGCCCTCTCATCTGTATGCCTTGCGTACGCCCCCACCGTCGCCGATTTTCCATGAGTAAGTTATTTATTGATTTCGAAAGGGATACTCCTAATAACTAGCGTCACGACAACGGCGACGACGGTGAATTTAGGAGGGTGTATCCACGACGACGGCGGCAGTTTCTGTTTTTCCGACGACGACTGAACTCCGCGAATTCAAACGACTTCTCGTATCATCCGACCGCCGTATATATATATATATCGCGATATGTAATCTCGTATAATGCTCGCGTGAAAATCGTACGTGTCTTCCATGCGTTCTATCTCGACTTCTATTTCGAGTTTCAGAATGAATATTATACCGAGATCGCGTGTATAAAATGGCAGATAGAGAAGTATTCGCATACATGTGCATCACAAATGTGCGCCGAGTGAAACGGGGAATGGGATCGTGGAAACTGGATTAAATCGTTCTCGCGATGATTTAAATGGTTTTAGTCCATTTCAGTCACTCCAAGAATGAATATAAATCAATGTTTAAGCATCTATTCTTCCCGCAACTGAAATATTACGATAGACGTGTAAGATTAATTGTCTTTTATCTCATTTGTAAATATTACATTTCTGAAAGATCCAATCTCTGAGATATATAAGTAGTAATAAATTAAAGACTTTGCAGAGAGAATTTGAGGATGCCAGTGAGTGAAATCTTATAACTTTTACAAACTGATTTGTCATATTGTCTTCTACTGATAATCCTTCCAACCTTGACAATGTCTTGTATGTGTCAATAATGATAGATGATTTTATTTAACTCATTATTTAAGTATTGATAGAGATAGAGATTTGAAAGAGGCTTATTTCTTATAAATGATAATTATTTTATAATCTGAATCTATAAGGAACATTTAATTCTCTTATTATTTATTATATTTTTATATAATTGATCAAACATTTACTTATATACATTTCAGATGTTGATATTGTCTTCCCACAACCGTTGGTGATGCAAATATCCTTCCTTGATTTGAAGTCTGCAAGATGGTTCTCATCGTCCAGTTCCAATTTTAGCTGAGATTAATACAGAAATGTAAGCAGTAACTGAACATTCACAAATGACAGCATTTGCTTTTATATTATTTAGAAATAAATATGAAATGTAGTCATAATAGTAGTCATAACAAGTAATTTAATCTGTATCATTAATACAGTATGAATTTATAGTGTTGAAGAGATTATATAAAATTAAAATATAAATACTACACACATACACACATACGCGCGCGCGCGCACACACACACACACACCACACACACACACACACACACATATATGTGTATACATATGTATACACATGTATATTTCAAATTTATTACATCATTAATTTATATGACTTAATGTAAATGTTGCGTTACCTGAAAATATCTATAAAAATCTATAAATATATCTATAAATATCTATGAAAAAGTATAATTTTGATTTGATAGCATTTTAAGTAAATATTGTTATGTATATAAATAATATAATTTATAATATAAATGGATTTGCATGTAGAGCGAAACGAATACAGTCCAGCTTGGTGGTAATGCGGGGATGTGGATCTGTTTCGACCCAATAGGAAGCCGAATAGGCTGGGGTACTTCCATTTCGTTCGTCATACTCTTGTATTGGACCTCTATTGATGCTAGCCTAACGAATGCAGCGGCGTCCAATGTCCCTCGTAATACCGTCACATCGGATATATCGATACCAGCGTCGGCACACCACGAGAACGACGAATGCAGGAATGTGACCACTGACAATAGAGAGGGTATGTTTGACAATTCATCAGTTGAGATCGCAATGTATAACCCAAAGAATGATTTCTTTTGAATTGCGATCACTTGATCGGTGAAATGTGTGACTTTTGTGTCTACAGGTACTGGACTGTCAGTGGTCAGCCATGGATCCGGTTATCCTCATTCGCCGATAGTGCCTCCAACCTTTCTGAACGGAGCTCTTACCTGCCAACCCTATCAAGGAATTTACGTGAATCACATCTACTTTCAACTTGCAAATGCCTTCTTCCTATTGTCACACCTTGCACCAAGCGGCATACATGGTGTACTTTATTTAAGGTGCACTCTACTCGTGGGTTGTGCCTTTCTTGCTTTGTGGGGCTGGACAATAGCTTGCTGGCTGGATGCTGCTCTCTGGAATGCTCTATTTGTTGCCATCAACTTCGTCCATGTATGCACGCTTCTTTACAAGCTCAGGCCTATCAAATTTACAAGGGAAATCGAAGAGGTAAGTGAAGATCAAATAGAAGACAATAATTTGTGAGGGAGTATTAATTATTTACAAAACTAATACAGAAAAAACAATAGTATAATTTATATGATATTTAACATATAGCATTAAGTATATTATGGGAATCTCTCATGCTAATTTATCTTTATTCTTTAGAATTATTATTATTATAATATATTTTTTATGTATATGTGTATTTTAGAAACTCTTGAAAAATAGTA